GGAAATCTCGTGCGCAGCCCTGAAAGCCAGGCCAGAATCTCCCTGGGTGAATCTCCCAGGCCTGGAGCAATAGCACAGCGGGTAGGGCGTTTGCCTTGCACACGGCCGACCCAGGTTCGATTCCCAGCATCCCATATGGTGCCCTGAGCACTGCCAGAAGTAATTCCTGAGTGCAGAGCGAGGAGTAACTCCTATGCATTGCTGGGTGTGACCCAAAAAGCAAAAAAAAAAAAAAAAAAAACCAACAGAATCTCCCCGGCTGCCGGAGGGACATGAAGTTTGGTTGCTGGCTTTGTTCTGTCCTCCCTGATGGGGCGTGGCCTGTGGCCCTGGACTGACTGTCCAGCTGTCTCGGGACCCCCTGCCTGAATGGGCTCTTCCCTCCAAGAGGCACCCCCGGGCAGGCCCGTACCAGGCAGTTTCCAGGCCTGAGGCCACGGCGGGGGTGGGAGGCCTGGGGGGAGGTGTAGAACAAAGCTGCATTCACAGGCGCTGGACTTCAGTTCGAAGGGAGCTGGACACCACATCTGGGTGCATCTGGGCGTATGGGGGAGCACTTGGCCCTGATCCCGGTCTCCTTTTCAGCTGGGGAAACTGAGGCAGGGGAGGGGGGTATTGGCTGACAGAGCAACATGGCACCTTCCAAGCCCTGACTTGGGGCGGACACTAAATGGCTGGCTGAGAACTGTGCAGGGAGAGGGTGGCCGGACGCCACTTGAAAGACTCTGCAAGAGAAAAAGAAATCCCACCCACCCACCACCTCCCGCCCCCGGAGCTCCCCCCGAGCCCAGGGTTGTTTCTGCCCCAGCTCTGAGAAGGGCTGAGGACATACCATCCCCGGGAATGCTACTGTGCCCAGGGGTGGGGGTGTGGCGGAGGCCAGCTGGTTATGGACTGACCGGAGCAGGTGGAAGGGACTGGAAGGCTGCGTCCAAGGCAGCCCCGGGATGGGAGAGCTCATGGGGGAGTCACTGAGGAACTGAGGCCCCTGGGAATGGAAAGGAGAGCTCAGTCTTAGAAGGAACGTTGCATATCGGGTAGAAGCTCCTGCCCAGCCCTCTTGTCCACCCCTCCTGCATGAAGAAGGCACAGCCACGGCTCTACCTGCCTCCACCCACAGGCCTATGAAGCCATGAAGTTATCATCCAGCTGTCACCTGTCTACTCAGCCTCCCACTCCCTGTCCATGATTCATTCATCAGTCTACCCCTCCACCCGCTCACTGGCCCTTCCACATCCATCCATCACCCACCTATCTATCCATATACCTATGTATCCACCCACCACCCACCCACCCATCCATCATCCACGCACCCACTCATCCACCCACCACCCACCCACTCATCCATCCATCTACCCATCCATCCATCCACCCACCCATCCATCTATCCACCTACCCATCCGTCTATTCACCCACCCACCCACCCACTCATCCATCCACCCACCTACTCATCCACCCATCCATCCATACATCCATCCACCACCCACTCTCCCATCCATTCATCTACCTACTCATCTATCTATGCATCCATCCTCTCACCCACCCACCCATCCATTCACCTCACCCACTCATCCATCCATCTACCGACCCATCTACCCACTCACCCACCCTCCTATCTATCCACCCACCTACCCTTTCATCCATCCACCCACCCACTCCCCCTTCCATTCATCCACCTACTCATCCACTCATCCATCCATCCACCCACCCTACCATCCACCCTCCCACCCATCCATCCCACCCATTTATCCATCCATCCATCCACCCACCCACTCCCCCTTCCATTCATCTACCTACTCATCCACTCATCCATCCATCCACCCACCCTACCATCCACCCTCCCACCCATCCATCCCACCCATTCATCCATCCATCCATCCATCCATCCATCCACTCATCCATCCACCCACTCATCCATCCATCCATCCACCCACACACTCATCCACCCATCCATACATCCACCACCCAACCTCCCATCTATTCATCCACCTACTCATCTATCTATGCATCCATCCACTCAACCACCCACCCATCCATCCCACACACTCATCCATTCATCCATCCACCTACCCACCCTCCCATCCATTCATCCACCTACTTATCCACTCATCCATCTATCCACCCGCCCACCCATCCTTCCCACCTATCTATCCATCCATCCATCCACCCACTCATCCATCCACCCACCACCCACCCTCCCATCCATCCATCCACCCACTAAATCCACCCTCCCATCCATCCATCCATCCATCCACGTATCCATCCATCCACCCACTCATCTACCCATCCATCCACCACCCATGCATCCACCCACCCATCCATTCACCCACTTACTCATCCATCCATCCATCCACCCTCCCTCCCACTCACTTATTCATCCATCCACCCACCACTCACCCTCCCACCGACCCACCCTCCCATCCATCCATCCATCCATCCATCCATCCATCATCCACTCATCCATCCATCCACCCACCCATCTAACCATCCAACCATCCATCCATCCACCAACCCATTCTCCCATCCATCCACCAACCCATTCTCCCATTCATCCACCCACCCATTCCCTAACCATTGGCTCACCCATCTCCCCGTCCTTCTGTGCATTGACCCGCCACTCACCTGGCTCCCTGTCCCACAGCATCTCCCTGTATCCATCTCTTTACCTGTCATCAATTCATCAGTCCCACACAGTGCCACCTCACCCGCTGCACTCGCTGGTCCTAATTAATCAATCAATTATCAATAACTTATCTTTTACTATTTTGAACTTAGGGGCTATACCACGCAGTGCTCAAGGGCTAATTCCCATTCTGTGCTCAGGGGTGATCCTACAGTACTGGGTGGGTGGGGACTGAACTTGGGGCTCCTACAGGTCAAGGCTCCACTCCTCTCTGGAAATTTCCCCAGAGGCTCAGGGCTCCCTCCTAGCCCTGTGCTTGGGGTCACTCCTTGTGGCACTCAGGGGACCATATGGGTTCCGGGATGGCACCAGGTGGGGACTCAGGATGTTTAAGGCCTTTGCTTGTGGCCTGAGGCTAGTATACACCACAGTTCTGCCTCCCTGTCTCGGAGAGGCCTGGACTGTTTGTCCTGCAGGACCAGTGGGGGCAACTGAGGCAGAGAATACCGTGTGAGCAGAGCAAGTCATGTCCAGGCCCCCGGATCCCTGTGCTACCCGATTTCTGTGCTGGGGGCCCCTTCGGGGCATTGCTTAGGGAGGCCTGTGCCCAGCAGGGCTGGCTATGGGGACCCCCCCCCACCTGGTGCCGAGTCCCCACCACCCCGTGTCCTCAGGTGTCCCACAGGGCCTGAGGCCTCTCCCTGCAGGCGGGGCCGTGTCTTCCTTCCAGAGCTCAGGTGACACTTGGGGTGTGGCCTCAGTGTCTGTGTCCTGGTGAGGCCCGCAGAAGGGATGGTGACCGCCCTCTGAGCACACTACGGGGCTGGGGCTCCCACGGGTCTCATCAGCTAGGCGGGCAGCGGCTCTGCTGAGTTGGGGTGCTGCGGGGGAGGGCAGTGCCTCTCCCCTGTGCCCTCTCAGACCACAGCGGGTGTCTCTGCAAAGGAAGGAAAGGGACAGCACAGTGGGGAGGGCGCTAGCTTCACACGTGCCAACACAGGTTTGATTGCCACCACCTTATATGGTCCCCTGGGCCCCTGCAGGTTGGGGTCTGGGGTCCACAGCTGCCCTGTGGCCAAGAACTCATTGGGTCACAGCTGTCAGCGGGCCCCCCTTCCATCCCTTCCTTGGTGCCCCGTGGGGTCATTGTGCGTGGTGACGGTCCTCTGGGAAGCAGAGCCAACAGGCCAGGCTCCCACTGCCCGCCCCCCACACCCTACCAGCTGCCTGGTCTCTAGGTGCAGCTGCAGGAGAGGGGACTTGGGGTCACTGGGGGAGGGGCGGGTGGTGTCACCAGGGGCCCTCAGCACAGGCACCCCACAGCCTTTTGACCCCTCTCAGGGGGGCACCCTGAGGCGGGCCCTGATGTCTGACACAGCAGGGGAAACTGACGCCCCGCCAGGTTGTTGCTGAAGGGCCTGGCGCTGCCCAGGTGGCCCATCAGAAAGCCACGAAGCCCAGCTTCGGTGGTGGGTGCTGAGAGGCAGAGGGGGCCCGCGAGTTTGGGGTAAAGACGCAGGTTCCCACAGAAGATCCCTATGAGGACACGTTTCTGGGGGACACGGCCCGTGTCGTCTGAGGGTACGTGGGCATTCCCGGGCGCCCGGCATGCAGGGAATGTGCCAGGGAAGAAGGGCCTCTTGGAGGCTGGAAAAGGCACGAGTGGGTGTGGGCTTGGGGACGGCCCAGGGCAGGGGGGCAGACAGAAGCAGAGCCTGGAAACCGCGGCGCAGGCTCAGCCCTGAGGGGGGTGAGGCCCGGGAGGGGCCGCAGGGATGCGCCAAAGGCTGACCCCGCCCCCACTGCGGGCGCGGAGGGGGTCGCAGCCGCCAGCCCGCCCCCACTGCGGACGGGGTGGGGGTGTGTGTGTGTCATTGCCGCTGCCGGCCCCCCCCATCGCGGGCCAGGAGGGTGGGGGTCACTGCTGCTTGCGGGCCCCCGTGGCGGACCGGGAAGGGGGGGGGTCACTGCGGCTGCCGGCCCCGCATCGCGGGACGGGAGGGTGGGGGTCACTGCTGCCTGCGGCCCCCGCTGCGGCCCGGGAGGTGGTCGCCGCCGCCCGCCCCACCCCCACTGCGGCTTGGGGAGGTGGTCGCCTCGGCCCGCCCGCCCCGCCCCCGCCGCCGCCGCCGCAGCCGCGGGCTCCCGCCGCCCCCACCCCCGGCCCCGGGGCGGCCTCGGTCACCCCCAGCGGACACGTGGCGCCCGGCGGCCCGGCTCGCGGGCGGGCGGGCGGGCGGGGACGGGGCGGGGAGCGCGCGCGCGCGGGCCGGGGGCCGCGGCGTCCCGGCGGGCGGGCGGGCGCGGCGCGGGGGGGTCGCGGCGGCGGCGGGCGCGGCGCGGGGCGGGCCGGGGGCGGGGCGCTGACGTCAGGCGCCGCTAAAGGGGCCGGGGCGGCCGGGCCGGCTTTGTGGCGGGCGCAGGAGGGTGCGCGGGCCGCGCGCGCGAACAAAAGCGGCACCATGAGCGCCAACGGCGCGGCCGCGGCCGTGCAGATCCAGTTCGGCCTCATCAACTGCGGCAACAAGTACCTGACGGCCGAGGCGTTCGGCTTCAAGGTGAACGCGTCGGCCAGCAGCCTGAAGAAGAAGCAGATCTGGACGCTGGAGCAGCCGCCCGACGAGGCGGGCAGCGCGGCCGTGTGCCTGCGCAGCCACCTGGGCCGCTACCTGGCGGCCGACAAGGACGGCAACGTGAGCTGCGAGCGCGAGGCGCCGGCCGCCGACTGCCGCTTCCTCATCGTGGCGCACGACGACGGCCGCTGGTCGCTGCAGTCCGAGGCGCACCGGCGCTTCTTCGGCGGCACCGAGGACCGCCTGTCGTGCTTCGCGCAGAGCGTGTCGCCCGCCGAGAAGTGGAGCGTGCACATCGCCATGCACCCGCAGGTCAACATCTACAGCGTCACCCGCAAGCGCTACGCGCACCTGGGCGCGCCGCCGGCCGACGAGATCGCCGTGGACCGCGACGTGCCGTGGGGCGTCGACTCGCTCATCACGCTGGCCTTCCAGGACCAGCGCTACAGCGTGCAGACGGCCGACCACCGCTTCCTGCGCCACGACGGCCGCCTGGTGGCGCGCCCCGAGCCCGCCACGGGCTTCACGCTCGAGTTCCGCTCGGGCAAGGTGGCCTTCCGCGACTGCGACGGCCGCTACCTGGCGCCGTCGGGGCCCAGCGGCACGCTCAAGGCGGGCAAGGCCACCAAGGTGGGCAAGGACGAGCTCTTCGCGCTGGAGCAGAGCTGCGCGCAGGTCGTGCTGCAGGCGGCCAACGAGAGGAACGTGTCCACGCGCCAGGGTGAGAGTGGGCGCGCGCGCGCGGGGCGGGGCGGGGCGGGGCGGGGGCGAGCCTCGGGCTCCCGGGCGCCGGCCCCACGCGCGCGGCCCTGGGGGAGGGGAGCCCGGCACCCCGGGGTGGCCTCGGGGCGCGCGTCCAGAGCCTTTCCTGCGGGCCGCCCGGACGGGGGGCGCCCCGCGTCTCCCCCGCCCCCACCCCGGCGTCCGCCCCGCGCTGGAGGCCGCGGCCTTTGTGAGCGGGGGGCGGGCCCCTCGGCAGGGCCCTCCCTCCGGCCCCCTTTGTCCTGCTCGGGCCCTGCAGATGGGGAAACCAGATGCGGCGGCGGCGGCGCGGGGGGAGGGGGCGGCGCCCTCCGCGGGGGCCCCCCACCCCCGCCGCCGGGACCCCCGCGCCCCTGGGAAGCGGCTTCCCGGCCCTGCGCCCCCCTCCCGGTGCCCCGCTCCTCTCCGCGGCGTGGAGGGCGGCCCCGGCTCGGGAGACCCTCGAGGGAGCCCCCCACCCCTCGCCTGGAACAATTGGCTTCAGCCCGGCGCGTCCCGTTCCCACCCGCCTCCTCCCGGCCTTGCGCCGCGGCAGGCAGCCCCCGCTTCCCGCCCGAGCGCCCCCAGACGGATCCTCTTCCTCCTGGCGCCCCCGCTTCCTGTGGGGCTCATGGGGGAGGTGGGACACCCCGCCCCCCCAGAGGCGACTGGGCCCGGGAGCGGCGGTGGAGGGGGAATGCGGGTCCAGCAAGGCCAGCCCGGGGTCACGCAGAACTGGGTCCCTTGAATTCCCAGGAGGCTTTATCAGGACCCTCGTGCCTCTCAGCCTCTGGAGCACAGGAAGCCCCCCGTTTTCCTTCTCTTCCAGTACTGGGTCGGGCACGTTTCCCCACCTGGCATCCGGTTGTGGGCCCCACCCAGTAGACATGCAGGACGGGTGGATGGTGAATGTCCCAGACCCTTAGGGTTGGGTGGGACGGGATCCACATCCCCAGAGGTGGCCAGCCAAGGCCTGTGTTCCTGCACAGGCAGCAGCACCTCAGGGTCAAGGGGGTGGCACTTTCCAAGGAGGACCCACCCGGGGCCGTGGCCAAGAGGAGGTGGTGGTACCTGGTAAATTCTGCCTGCAGAGAGCACAGCTGTGCAAAGGCCCTGGGGCAGGAAGTGAAGTGAAGCGGATGGGAGTGGCTGGCTGGCATACATCCACTGGGCTGGGCAGAGACCCTCTCCTCTCCACTGCACTGCTCACAGGGTGACTCAGGCTGGTGGTGGAGCAGGCTAGCTGTTGCCTTGTCCTTGATGATTTAAAGGGCTGTGTGTGTGGGGGGGCGTCCTCAGGTCTTGATGGTCACTGAGACTGCGGTGGGCAGACTGGGGGATGTGATGGCGGGGGCCATTTTTCCAGGCCCATGTCACAACGGAGGCTGCACTTCCGACATGTGTTGGAACCTTGAGCCAGGAAGAAGGAGGAGGAGCAGGGCTTAGCTGGGGAGCAATGGGATGTGAGTCATCCTCGAGCCTATGCAGGTCAGGGGCTCCGGAGCCGGAGGGTCTGCTGCTGCGGCCACCTGTGCCCCAACCTTGGTTTTTCTAGCTGGACCTCACTGCTGCCGTCTGTTTTGGGGAGTGGGCCTGGGGGCTGCCTCCTCATCATGCCTGCCTGAGTCTGGCCAGTATGCCCAGGGGACTGTATGCTCACAGGCAAAGTGGGCTGGCCAAGCTGGGCGTTGCAGGATGTGTAGGAGTTCTCTCAGAGAGGGTAGGGCATTTCAAGCCCTGAGGGGGGTGGGGAATACAGGTGTGTGCACACATGTTTGTGTGTGTGGTGGGGGAGGGGACCCCGTGACAGGCAGCAGGCTAGAGAACAGCTGCTGGCTGGAGGCAGGGTGGGGACCCCTGGGTCTCCCCTGGGCTCTCAGGGCTGATGTTCCCCTGGGCGGCCCAGAGCCGCCTCTGCCGCCTGCCTCCAGGCCCGAGGAGGCCTGTGACTCAGGTTTTCTTGCTGGGGCTGATGAAAAGACGAACCCGTTCCCATAGCGACGAGGCTCTAGTTAGAGCCTGGAGGGAGGGAAAGAGGGAAACTGAGACTCCCAGACTCCCTTTGCACCAGCTGGGAGTGGGGGGCCCCAGTGGCAGGCCCTGCGGAGCCCCTCTTTGTTCTCTCAGGTGGGTCCTCCTGGCGTGGGGACCCCATAAGGGCTCTTCCCTGGAGGGGGCTGGAGCGGCCACTTCCTGCCTTTGTTCTCAGCCAGAGGGGCTGGTGCCTCAGGACGTGGAGGGCCACAGGCTAAGACCCTCAGGGCTCAGGCCAGGCTGGCCCTGTCCTACAGGCTGTGACAGTTGTGGCTCTCTGGGATGCCCCTGGTTGACTGGGGGACAGGTCCGTGGGGAGTGGACAGGGCTTGCCCACTGTTACTTTTACTGGGTTCCTCACCCCGTGGGACTTTGTGCGGGCTGGGACCCTCGCTAAGCCCTGAGCCAAGATTCCCCCCCCCCCCAACAGCCCCTGGCCCAGGAGGGTCCGGAGTGGCCCCTGCTCTGTGGCCCCCAGCAGGGTGCCGCCTGCACCCCTTCCGTGGGGGGTTCTGTTGAGAGGAGCTGGTGCCTCGTGCCCACGCGCCCGCCTGAGGCTCCATCTGGTGCTCTGGGCTGCCTGGCTGGTGTCTGAAGGATCCACAGCCCCATGGGGGGATTGGGGGAGGGGCTCGGGGCCCCCCTCTAGCTGGAGTCTCTCCGCAGGGATGGACCTGTCGGCCAATCAGGACGAGGAGACGGACCAGGAGACCTTCCAGCTGGAGATCGACCGCGACACCCAGAAGGGGGCCTTCCGCACCCACACGGGCAAGTACTGGACGCTGACGGCCAGCGGGGGTGTGCAGTGCACCGCCTCCACCAAGTGAGTGCCCCCTGGGGCTCCCCTGGCCGCGCTGCCCACGGCCCGAGCCCCCCCCCCCCCCCGCTCACCCTACCCCCCCCTGCAGGAACGCCAACTGCTTCTTCGACATCGAGTGGCGCGATCGGCGGGTCACCCTGCGCGGGGCCAACGGCAAGTTCGTGACAGCCAAGAAGAACGGGCAGCTGGCCGCCTCCATGGAGACCGCAGGTAGCTGCCAGGGTGGGGGCACCCCAGTTCCCCGAAGGGTCTGAGCACCTGTGGTCACTGGCATCTCCCCAGACTGGCCCACCTGGGGGCTTCTGCCGCCCCTCCCTGCCCAGCACTCACCGCTCGCCCCTACAGGGGACTCGGAGCTCTTCCTCATGAAGCTCATCAACCGGCCCATTATCGTGCTCCGTGGCGAGCATGGCTTCATCGGCTGCCGCAAGGTGACGGGCACCCTGGATGCCAACCGCTCCAGCTACGACGTCTTCCAGCTGGAGTTCAGCGACGGCGCCTACCACATCAAAGGCAGGGCCTGGGCCCGGGGTCTGGCGGGGGCTGCGGCGGGTGGGAAGGGTGGGGACGCTGGGCGGGCTGACGGAGTCTCTGTCCCCAGACTCCACGGGCAAGTACTGGACGGTGGGTGACGAAGGCTCGGTGACCAGCAGCAGTGACGTGCCTGTGGATTTCTTCCTGGAGTTCCGCGACTACAACAAAGTGGCCATCAAGGGGGGCGGCCGCTACCTGAAGGGGGACCACGCGGGGGTCCTCAAGGCCTGCGCCGACACCATCGAGCCCGCCACGCTGTGGGAGTACTAGCCCCTCCCCCCCTGCTCCTCCCGGGGACCCTTCGGGGGTGCCCTGGCCTCGCAAACTGGAAAACCCATGGGGGGGCTCCCCTTGCCCCCTCCCCCGTGCGGGTCCCCCTGCCTCCTCTTCTGACCTCAGACGACTCTGAGCCTTACTCCCCCCGTGGGGCCGAGAGAAGGGGCCGGGAGGGGACACGAATGGGAATCACCACCCTCCCACCGCCTCCTCCCACCGCCGAGGCCCCCCTTGCCCCCGACCCCAGGCCTGTGGCCTACCAGCAGGAGGAAGACCCCTGGGCCCCCTATGCACGGAGGGGCCCACCTGCTCCCCATCCTGTCTCGTTTCTCCCTGGCCAAACTGGAAGCCGAAAAATGACCAAATCAGTATTTTCGTTAACCGCCTTGTTGCTGCCGGGCTTGCCTGGCCTTTGTTGCGAGTGGTCTTCAAGGGGTGCTATTGGGGGCGTTTCCGAATGCATCTCCCGGGAACCTCTGGCCTGTCGGTGGAGGCGCAGCAGGGCGTCTTTAAGTCTGGAACCAGCCGCCACCCCCGGCTCTCCCTGCCTCCCCCTCCTCCCCCGGTGCTAGGCTTCTCACCCCCTCAGGTGCTCCTCCCACAGGACCCCCAGGGTCTCGGCAGGGTGAAGCCAGGCAAGGCCCACCCCCTGCCCCGCTGGCCCCCCACATCTCCACATGTCTCACTCTGGATGTCTTGGTCTATTTTTGTGTCATTTGTATAACTTTGCGCCCATGATCTTAGCTTCAGACTGGAAAAAGCGCCAGCCAATAAACTCTGCCACCCCAGGCTGCTGCTGGAATGTCTCTGGGACGGTGGGTGGGGTCTTGCCAGATGGGTGGAGGTGCAGAGCTGAGGCTTACCTAGATCCTGGTCTCCCTCCAGGCAGGGCTGGAAGGGTCAGTTTGGGGGGCTGGAGGACTGAGGGGGGTGGGTGGGAGGGTGGCATCCCTAGGGGAGGCACCTTCCTCATTTTGGCGTACTCGGGGGTTCACATGCAGCAGTGTGCATGCACTTGGGGAGAGCCAGCGGGGTGGGGTCCCTCAGGGCTGTGGCTTCTGTCCGCACTTGTCACTGCCACAGTGGGTGCGCTGACTGGCTGCCTGCGCTGGACAGTCCCTGAAGCGGGAGTTTGGAGATGGAGCCCATGGAGGCATGCTGAGTCCCTGTAGGGCGTGGTGGTCGGTGCCCCCTCTTATCAGAGCCAGGCTGGACACTTAGGAAATCCCAGTGGCACAGAGGAAGACGGAATGGGGTCTCTGAGCCCAGCCCTCCCAGATCAGGCTGTGATTTTTCTTTATCCCGTATCACAGATACAGTTACAAAGCTTTCATGATTGAGTTTCAGTCATACAATCGGGCTGATTTTTTTTTCCTTTGGCCACACCCAGCTCAGGGCTACTCCTGGCTCAGTGCTTGGCCTCCTGCCGCACAGCCATGCCTGGAGTCCGGTCTCGGCACCGTGCAATGGGCACCGGTGGGGCTTTACTCTGTCCCTCATTCTGCAAATATGGGTACGTACTGTGTTGTGCATTGGGAGGGGCAGGAAGCCAAGAGAGGGAGGTAGCTACTTCTGGTGAGCCCGTGGGGAGACCCTGCCAGAAGCAGCTGCATTTGGACCCCAGGACACAAGGGGAGCACATGGGTTGTATTGGCTCTGTGTGTGAGGTGCCCTTGTATGTGTGCATGTGCATATGTATGTACATATGTGCTTGTGGGTGCATGTGTATGTGCGCTTGCATGTGTGCATGGTGTGTACCAAAACAGCCTGTGCTGAGTGCTAGGTAGGCATGTGCTGAGTGCTATGCACATGAAACACATACTTAGACATGCATGAACCACATGCTAAGACAGGTGGTACAAATGACCCTGCTTGGCTGCCTTGGGGCTTGGTCTATCGGGGGCTCCTCACCGCACTGGGAGAGGGCAGTTGAGACACCAAAGGGCTGGGGAGGGAGCTGGCCTCAGTTTCCCCCATTTGAGCAGTGGATAGTTTCTTCATAAGGAGGATTTTCAAGGATGGGGGGGGTTCTCAGCTTTTTGGGGGTGGAAAAAGAGGAGGTAACAGATGAAAAGGGGCTGAGCATCTAGCCTGGAGACCAAGTCCCCAGACACCACAACAAGCTGTGCCACTACCCTGGCCTCACTGGGACCAGGGTGCCCCAGAAACCCCCTTCACTATGACTGCAGGCCTTGGGAACCTGATGACACTGTCGGGGTCACTGCATTTGTTCTGGTGGTGGTTTTAGAAAATTCAGGTCGGGGGCAACTGCATGGTTCTGCCAGTGTGTTGGACCCCCAAAGTAACCTATGTTCATCGACCCTTGTGCCCCACCCAGCATGTCTTGAGCACACCAGATATGTGGTCCTTGGTGCGAACCACGACAAAATGTACAAATCCAGTTACTGAAGTGTTCATAAAAGAGAAGGGGTGGGGCCAAACAGGCCCTTAAGAGCCCAGAGCATGGTGAAAGTGGAGGGGTGCCACACCTCTCCCGTGGGTGGGGGTGCTGGGGCCAACTTTTGGGACAAATTACCTTTTTGCGAGGGGAGGGCACACCAGCCTTGCTCCGGGTTGACTTCTGGCTCTGCACTCAGGGAGTACTGCTGGCAGGGTTTGGGGAACCATACAGCGTGCTGGGGATTGAACCCAGGCGGCCTGCATGTGCAAGGCGAGCACATAGCTCTGTTCTTCTCTGGCCCGTTTCTTACCGAAGGAAGTACAGCTGCAGGCCCCTGCCATGTGCTGCCCCCTGCACCCCCACTCCCGATACTGCCCTAATCCTGGGATCTTGTGGTGGGACTCGTGGAGATGGGGCTCTAAAGAGGGAATTGGCTGAATGAGCTCACCCAGGTGGTACCAAGCCAAGAACATTTGAGTCCCTGAGAAGGGACCGAGACACACTGGACAGTCATATGACAGCAGGCAGGCGATGGCTGCCTGCACAGTCAGGGGCGAGGCCCCTAGGGAGTGGCCTGGCCTGTCTCAGGTTCCGGCATGTGGACGGGGAGACCAAGGCTGATGCTGGAGCCTCCTGGAGCTACTGTACAGCGGGTGTGTGTCCTGCACGCAGCGACCCAGGTACTGTTCCAGACACCGAGATGGTCCCCAGAGCGTCATCAGGAGTCATTTCTGAGTGCAAAGACGGGTAAGCCCCGAAGGGTCAGAGCAATAGAAATCGGGGAGGGCATTTGCCTTGCATGGAGTCAACCGGGTTCAATCCCTGGTATCCCATGGTTCCCAGAGCGCTGCCAGGAGCGAGCCCTGAGCACCACCGGGTGTGGCCCAGCAGTGAAAACAAGTAAAATTAAATTCTATTCTGTAGTAAAATAAAATTCTATTCTGAGGGTTTCCTGCACCTCACAGAGACCCAGGATGCCAGCCCGGGTCATACAGGAGGGGGCCAGAGGGACACAGAGCAGAGAGCATGGGGGAAGAGAGAGGCGCTGGGTGGTCAGGGGCATAGTGCCACCCCCCAGCTCTTAATGTCTGTCAGCAGACACGGAGACAGGATATGGGGGGCTCTTTTGAGGCTGCCCAGCCCAACACCTATCTGCCTCTTTTTCATTTTTTGTTTTTGGGCCACACCTGGCGATGTTCAGGGGTTAGTCCTGGCTCTACACTCAGGAATCAATCCTGGTGGTGCTCTGGGGAATCATGTGGGATGCCAGAGATCAAAACTGGATGGGCCGCAAGGCAAATGCCCTCCCTGCTGTATCTGTACCTCTGGCTCCTGCATCTTTTTCTTAGTTGTGGGGGGGGGAACTCTCGGCAGTGTTGGGGGCCATGGAGTGCTGAGAACTGACTGAGGCCTCTACATTCACCCTCTTTTTATTTTTTTCTTTTTGGGTCACACCCGGTGATGCACAGAGTTTACTCCTGGTTCTGCACTCAGAAATTACCACTGGCGGTGTTCAGGGGACCCTATGGGATGCTGGGAATTGAACCCGAGTCAGCCGCATGGAAGGCAAATGCCCTACCCGCTGTGCTATTGCTCCAGCCCACACATCCACTCTCTTTAACTGTCCCACAAATGCTGTCCTGGTGGGTTGTTTTGGGGTTCATTCTATAAATCCCTCATTCCCAACTTCCTGAGAGCTGGGCCCACAGTGGGGCATAGCTGAGGGGTTTGGGCTGTGGACAGCCCAGGTTTTGTGGAGATTATTGGTCAGACCTGGCAAAGAAAGGAGGCCAAGGGCCGAGAGGCTGAGAGGGAAGAAAGTGGTCGGGTTGTGGGCAGCTGAGCCATTTCTTCCAGTGGGTGACTTGGGCAGCTGTGTCCTTCTGGGCACTGTGCCCACTGGGTGGGGTGGGGTGGGGTGGGGCTAGCATCTGTGTGAGTGTGGGGCAGCCGGGCAGGGTCGGGGGTGACCCGGTCACCTACTTGGCCCACCTCTCCAACACAGGGGGCAGATAGGATAGGTGCCCTGTCACCTCAGCCGGCAGGGCTGCCTCCCCAGTTCCCGGGCTGTCCTCAGGTCAAAGGGGCGCTGCTGCAGGCCCGTGGTCTTCAGGACCGTGCTTGGGGGTGTTTCACTCGTTCTCTGGGTTCCCCTAGGTGCCAGGTCCTGAAACTTCCCTGAGCCCCTCCCAGGCCTGGCTCGCCTCCCGAGTGCAAAAAAGCTGCTGCCTTTGGTTCTTTGTCCCTGGCCCCCTCCCAAACATGCCCGTGTGGGCCCAAGCAATGATTCCAGCAGCGGGGGCCGATGGGGAATACAGACCCCTCCCGAACCTGGGTCAAACTGTTCAGAGCAAGCAGCCCTGCTGAGGACCAGGCAGCACTCACATGACACCTTCCCGGGTGGCCCCGTACTGTGTCCCCTAGTTGTTCACCACCGTACCTATTTTTGTTGCGCTTGTTTCTTCTGCTGGGGTCCCATCGGCCCCAATGTCCAGTTGAGCAGGGCCTTGTATATAATAACTGTCCCCAAGGAGTCCCTGCAGAATACCGAGGGGACAATGGAATCTGCCAGTCCAGAGCCCGCAGGGAGGTGACTCTCAGGGACAGGTGGGGATCAGAGGGTGGCTCCCTTTCCAGTGCTCCGAAGCAGAGGAAGAGGTTCTCCCTTCTCCATTCTAGCCAGGACTCAAGTTACCCGAGCATGTCCTGCCTCAGCCCACATGCATGACTTGGTGGAGTGCAGCAAATGCCACCAAGTTCTATGGGGCAGGAGAAACAGAAACCACATGTGGGTGGGCTTTATCAGCTTCAAGTTCAGACTGAGCGAGGTGCTGCCAGCCCAGCCCGGGCTGGGGTCTGGGACGGCCCTTCTGCCCAGGCACCCCACGCATCAGGGGAGTCTCTCCTTTCACTTGACCTTCTGACTATTGATTTGTGCCACAAACCAAAGATGAAGATGGAGTCCCTAGGCCCCAATGAGGGAGGGTCTCTGCCGGACTGGCCTCTGGGGTCTGGCTTCTCCAGACCCGGGCTTCTCACGGGCTCCCGCAGTTCCCAGATGCCTCCTGCTGAGGGTGGCCTTGCAAAGCTCTGTAGTGACTTGCAGAATCCCCCAGAATCTGTGTCTCTGGGGTCTCTGCCTGCTCAGGAAGCTGGAGGAAGGAAACAAGAGGTGGCGGAATGCATGACGTTTATTTACAAGAATCCAAGTTACATATGATACAGGCTTTTTACACACAGCAGTTTAAACCGTCACTGCATCTTTACTACCGAAGGTTAAGGAAAAATTTAATAAACTATTTTATACAAAGTGACGGGTTGGTCATGCAACACTTTACATTTTGTAATCTTCTGCTAAGTGCAAATTCTAGATTCTTCTCCAGTTTTAAGGCAAGTAGAAGGGGACGGTCACTCTGGGGAGTCAGCACGGTGGTTTGGGAAGGCAGCTTCGCCCCCAGATGGGGCTATTTGTCTCTGACGGGGGCTGGCTGCCACGGGGTTCTGGCATCTGTGTTCTACGGCACCTGTCGGTGGGGTCAGCTGGTGGGGGCTCTCGGCAGCGCCCTCCTCACCATGGCGTGGTGGGCTGGGATGCAGGAGGCTGGCAGCTCGGAGCTCCCTGCCAAGGAACATCTTCTGTTTCCTTTCAGTCTCCTCCCTCCTTGGCCCGGGACCTTCTGGCCTGATCCTACTGGGCTGCTGGACATCAATGCCAAGGCCTGTGGGTCACTAGACCCATCCCCGCAGCTGCCCGACTCTGTGGATCCACATCCTGTGGGTTCCGTTGGAAGATCCATTCACTTTAGGAGGCTGAGGAGGTCCCTGTGCTCGAGGGCCCAATGAGTGCTGTCACTTGGGGGGGGGGGGAAGGTGACAGCGCCTGGGTTTCCCTGCCCATCTGGTGGGCAGATGGCTCAACACTCAGATACTCTCAGGGGTGTGGGGGACACGCTTCATTAAGCCATGCTGAACAATGCCAGCAGTGTGCCTGGGGCAGAGCTTTCCCAGGGCAGGGCCAGGCAGGCAGGCCAGTGGCAAAGGTCAGGCGGTGCTCCACGCCAGATGATCACTTGCCTCCATCAGGTTTCACTGGAGGGGCAGCCAAGACCTCACTCTGCACTGAGTGGATGTCGGGGGGGCGGGGGGGGGAGACGACAGAGAAGGTGGCACGTGCAAACACAGTGCAGACTCGTGATCACTGGAGTGCAGGTGTGGCCAGTGGATCCGACTGGACTTCTGGACATCAAAGCCAACAAAGCCAAGGCCAACCCCATGGCCGCGGCAGAGCCCTCCTCCTTGTGCCTTCATCATTAAGACAGAATGTGGGAGGAGGGCACCAGCACACCCCCAACGGGGCAGCATTCTGGGGGACAGGACCCCAGGGAAAGCCTTATCCCCACCAGATTTCAGGAGCAAAGGTGATGGCAGAGAAGGCTCAGAGCCATCGGGCTGCATGGGGCAGCCTTCAGGCCTGTCCCTGCTCCTGTGAGGACCTTCCAGCTGGCCCTCGGGAGTTGCCGGCAGGAGCAGGTTTCTTAGACCGGGGAGAGAAGCTCTAGCAGGTCACAGAAACCTGGGTCAGTTCTAAGTAAACAGTGAACAATTTTTAGAGAAACTACAAAACAGAGCCCCCAGCAGTGAGATGGCTCTGTGGGGGCTCCCGTGAGTGGCTCAGGAGGGAAGTGGGGGAGCCCCTGAAAGGTCTGCGCATACCAACCCACCACCTTTCAGCTTGGACTAACCTGAGCCTCAGAGAGAGAGGCTGGGTCGGTGCAGAGGGTGTCTGTCTCAGTGGTCCGAGTGCAGGGGTGGGGCAGGAGAGCTGGACTGTACCTGCTGCTACCTCGGCTCTGCCCCAGCTGTGTGGTGGGGAGGAAGGCCTACGTGGTCTGGGAGGGAGAGCGGTGGTGGCAGCAGAGCGGGCAGCATCCTCAGTCTTCTGCAGGAACGCGCGGGACACGGAGGGCTTGCCCGGGGCCTGGGACCATGGTGCTGGACGCCAGGAGGATGGCAGAGTTCTGCAGGGAGAGGGTGTGGCAGTCCCCAATCTCTAGGGAGCCCCATTTCAATCCTGAGTGGGTCCCAAGGCATGTGGGCTGCCAGTCACTTTGCAAGGGGTAGAGGTTCTTCCTGGCCTGGCCTGGCCTGTGTGGGGTCACTCCATCAGTCCTACTTGAAGGCATGGGCAGAGCTATCTTAGGGGTAAGGGGACCTCACTAACCCACCCACACAGGCTGGGGCTGCTCAGTGGGAACTGTGCGTGGGCTCCTGGCCATCAGAAGCGATGCCGGGGCTGGGGGCCAAAGTGCATGGGCAGGTTGTGCTCCAGGGGCATGTGGACAGGTGCAAACTCATAGTTGACCCGTACGTTGGGCAGCGGGGGCACATAGGGTGCAGGGATGGGGCCCATGTTGAGGGGGAAGTTATTGAACATGGGTCGGACAGGTGGCATAGGGAAGGGCGGGGGCACGAAGGCGTAGGCGGGCATCTGTGGCTGGTGCAGGTTCTGCGGGACAGGTCGGGGTAGTGCCTCCATCCGCTGCACTTTCTCAGGAGGCTTCTCCAAGGGGGGGCCGATGCGCTTGAAGGTGTTCTCTGAACAGAGACACAGGGAGTTAGTGGGCGGTTGACGGCTCAGCACCACTGTGTTCGGGTCAGCAATAAACTATTGGAGAGATAGTACAAAGCTTAAGGGGTCTGCTTTGCGTGCAGCTGATCCAGCTCAATCCCCAGAACCACGCCTACCCTGGACCACTGGGAAATCTCCAGAAGAGCTTGGAGTAGCTCTGGGTCACTGCCAGTGCTTGAAGTCTTGCACCAGGCAGGCACCTCTCTTGAGCAGCATCTGTGTTAGCCATACTTGGTGATCAGGGATCGTATGGGGTGCCGGGGACTGAACCCAAGCGCTGTACTACCTCTCCAGTTCATGCAGAAATCTTTCCTATGCAGAAGAGTGGCTGAAGAAAGCACCCAATGTCCCCTGGGACAAACCCTGATGCCCTCCTGTGATTGGTGAAATGGGGTGTTCCAGCAGAGAGGGAGAGCCTGTGTATGACATCTGTCTGGAGAGTGTGACTGGCTGAGCCACTCACACAAACCCCATTTGTACGCAACTCCGGTAAGGGAAGGAAGGGCTTCCATCTGACTCCTACTCTAAGGACCACTTTTTTTTTTTTTTTTTTTTTGCTTTTTTTGGATCACACCTGGCCATGCACAGGGGTTACTCCTGTAACTCCTGGCTCTGCACTCAGGAATTACTCCTGGCAGTGCTCAGGGAACCATATGGGATGCTGAGAATCGAATCGGGGTCGGCGGCGTGCAAGGTAAACCGTGCAAGGCAAACACCCTATCCGCTGTGCTATCTCTCCAGCCCCTGCCTCCTACTCTAGCCCACCTGGTACTTCCTCACCATCAAGATGAAGCAGAAACCTCCTTTAAACTAAGAGGGGACCCTTGCTTCCTGCTCCCAGAGTCTGGGCTGGGCAGCACTTGCCTCCATTCTTCCTTTTCTGCTCCTCTTCGGCCTCCTTTTGGATTTCTTCAATGAGCTTCTCATCATCCTCCTGAAAGGAAGCGACAGGTGGGTGGGCGCAGTCTCAGCAGCCCTGAAGGGGCTTTTATTTTCCTGGAGTGCCTCAGGAGTGGGCCAGACTGGTCATGTGCCAGTTGGCTGGGTGGACAGAATGCTGCATAGCTCAGGGGGCAGACTGGCCAGTCCACAATGAGCCCTCAGCAGACCCTAACGGCATGACAGCAGCCTGGATCAGGACTTGGGCACCCCCATAGAGTCCCTTGGTCCCCACCGGGTATTATCTCTGAGTGCAGAGTCAGGAATAAGCTCTGAACATCCCTGGGTGTGGCCCCCCAAACAAAAAAAAGCAAAGAGGTACAGCTTGTAAGATGTTTTCCCAGGATTTCCTTCAGTTGTTTTTCACAGTTCAAGGGAGACTTTGTCTTGCTTATAATTATGATTATTATTATTATTTTTTTTGCTTTTTGGGGTCATACCCAGCGATGCACAGAGGTTTCTCCTGGCTCTGCACTACGGAATCACCCCTGGCGGTGCTCAGGGGACCACATGGGATGCTGGGAATTGAACCCAGGTTGGCCACGTGCAAGGCAAACGCCCTACCTGCTGTGCTATTGCTCCAGCCCCTTATGATTATTATTAAGTGTCGCTTGCGCCAGTGCCACTTCATAACTTGATAACTGTGGTCATGCCACCATCAGTAGAGGGATCCTGACTGCAAGGCCCCTGATGGCACAGGACAATCCTGTTTCCTGGGAACACTGACACCCAGGTTCCAGAGTGTAGGGGTAGCCGGCTGTGACAAATGCTTAATACTCATCCACAGTGCCACTCCAATAATTCTCTCAGGGAGAACCCACAGAAAAAGACCTCGGACAGGCAGTTCCAGTCCCCTTAGCTTATTCGATTTGGACACGGGGTATTCTGTTCATTCTTTTTTTTTTTTTTGCTTTTTGGGTCACACCCAGCAATGCACAGGGGTTACTCCTGGCTCTGCACTCAGGAGTTACTCCTGGCGGTACTCAGGGGACCGTATGGGATGCTGGGAATCAAACCCAGATTGGCCACGTGCAAGGCAAACGCCCTACCCACTGTGCTATCTTTCCAGGCCCTGTTCATTCTTTTAAAACAGAGTCTTGCACGGTCGGCACAAACCAGCACTGTGCGGGGTGCAACCCAGTCCCTTCCCTCTGTCAGGGCCCAGAGCGCCAAGGTTTGGAGCACACGCTCTGTATGCTGGAGCTGAGTCCTGCTGCTGAGGCCGCCTGCCCTGCAACCCACCCTGTGAGCTGCCCCTCACTCGGACCCTAGTGGAAGCAGTGACCTTCCATCTCAACAGCGATTATTTCACTAGAAAATAACAGCGCTTAACTAGCTGAGCAAGGATTGTTACCATAAATAATGAGTAAATTGTTAGTTATACCTAAATTCTTGGGTTAGATCAGATTTCAGCATTTGCAGGCATCACAAAGCACTGAGTTTAGAAACTAAGAACTGAAACAATGTCTTTTAGGACTACAAAGATTGCTGTATTGCATGTCCCTGGGAGCCCCTCACCTGCCCAGGTCTGACTGCTGCACTGCTGGACTGACGGAGCTGGCAGGCCAGCTGGGGCTCCCCTAGCACTGCTTGAAAGCCACTTCCCAAACTCAAACTCATTTTTTTTCCCCCAAAAGGAAAAAATGACATTTTTAGCCAAATATGTTAGACTCTGTGGGGAAGATTTTTTTTTTAACTTCATCAGAGGCAAAAGTTCTTAGCACTGTAAATTCCTAAAGTCAAAGCAGATAGAATTGGATTTTATAAAGGGCAAATCTTATTTTACCATGATTAAAAAAATAACATTGAAAAGAATGGAATGAAGTCAGGATTAAAATGGACTTTGAGAACCCACATGAAGACTGGCCTCTCATCAGAACCTTTCCCGGGTTTGGGCTGAGCGACGGCTGGGCTATTTGAGGCTTCTCTGAAGATGAGTCCCCAGGGAACATTCTAGGCACCTCTGGTGAATAAGGACACTTGCAAAGAAGACCTGCTTTTCTGCAAATCTAGGACATACCTAAGCTGCTGGAAATGGGGAACAATAGGAGGAAAGCTGATGAGCAGGCGGGTGCGGGGGTGGCTCCCAGACTCCTGGGCCCCAGCCCGCTGCAGGCTGAGTCGGCACAGGAAACAGGTCTGCCGGGCTCACCCGAACCGTGCCTGAATGCCACAAAGAACGGGCCTGATGCGAGGGCGGTAGCTTTAGGGTTCTAGAGAATGGGGTTTGGGCTACACCCCCACACCAATTCTTACCACCTACTCTGGGGCTTCCATTCATTTTCACAGCAGATTTATTGCAAGAAACTAGCATTTTTCTCACAAGAGAATCTCAAGAGATGGAATCTCAGTAACAACTGGGAGTGAGGCACTACTAAAAATCCCCACTCGTCAAATGAGGAAACTGAGGTTTAAGCCCAGCGTTTTCAGTCTCAGAGTCAGAGCTCTATGTTTTTTTTTGGGGGGGGGGGGGGCGGCGATGCTCTGTGGTTACTCCTGGCTTTGCACTCAGGAATTACTTCTGGTGGTGCTCAGGGGACCATATGGGATGCTGGGAATCGAACCCGGGTCGGCCACGAGCAAGGCAAACGCCCTACCTGCTGTGCTATCATTCCAGCCCCAACAGAGTCAGAGCTCTAAACCACCAAACCAGAATTGGATTCTGGAGCAGAACAACTAGAGGGGCCTTAGATATTGGCTCCATACCACCCTCAGCACTATCCACGATAGCAACTCTTTTAGTTACTATGTTCTAGAAAGACTACCTCGGCTGGAGCTATAGCACATCACATATGCCACTTGCCTTGCATGTGGATGACCCGGTTTGATCCCCAGCATTCCATAGGGTCCCCCAAGACTGCCATAAGTAATTCCCGAGTGCAGGGCCATGAGTAAACCCTGAGCATCACTGGTTATGGAAAAGCAAACAAAACAAAGAGATAAGAGTACTTCCACCTTCCTTGAAACATAAAAGGGTGAGAGTTTCTTCTCTTTGGAATCTTTCTCCACTTACAAGAGAACAGGGTAAAATACCCCCTCCACCAGGAGAGGAGGTCTGACCCTGGAAATTATTAGGGAATTCTTTGGCATTGGCTCAGTCGGAAGTACACGGGCCAACCCTCAGATCCACTAGAATGGCCTTAATGACTCTCCACCACAAGGGCCCTGAACTGGAGAGCCAGGCAGCTCACATTAGCCAGCCTTGCTCAGAGCCAAAGGTCATAAGTCACCTTCTGCCCATGATCAGGTGCCACTCATCTCAAAGATGAACACGGACAGTGACAGGGGGCCACCACACTGTTCGTGCACTCTGTGGGAATGCACAGAACATTTTTTTTTTCTTTTTGGGTCACACCCGAGTGATGCACAGGGATTACTCCTGGCTTTGCACTCAGGAATTACACTCCTGGCGGGGGACCATATAGAATGCTGGGAATTGAACCTGGGTTGGCTGCATGCAAGGCAAACACCCTACCTGCTGTACTATGCTCCAGCCCCCACATTGAACATTCTTTCTCAAATAAGTGTCAGAACATAGCAACAAGCTGGAAACATGCCTCTGGATCCCAGCCAGGCTGAATCTCACACCTAGGGCAGCTTGGAGGGGGGCAGACAGTGGAACTCACCTACCCCAACAGAGCCCCAGAAGCCGAAAACCCCAGAACTCCATCGCCACCATGCTCAAGGCTGATCTCCACAGACTCGGACGAGCATCACCCATGAGCAAATCTACTGAAAAACTCAGGTTTGTGGGTTTTGTGTCCAAAACCTCCAGGCCTGCGGAGTTGGGAATGAGCCATATCCTCCCATCTCCCAGTATTTCTGGGAGCCTGGCAGTCACACCCACGAACTGCCTCAGGTGCCAAATACCTCCAGACACTAAGTCACCATCAGGTTAAAAACTTAACTACAGCTGTATCAACCTATTTAAAATGTTACAATTTCTAGAATGTCAGCTGTTCCACATCTTATACTGACATCACTGATTTACCAGGAGTAGCACACTACATTGGACAGGGTGTGTAAAGTAGAAGGCAACTGATCTCAATTTGAAAAAAAGAAAAAAATTTACTAACATGCTGTTGCAGGTTGAGCACACAAGGCTCAACCTGCAACAGCATGTTAGTAAAGGGCTTAATGGCTCCGGGCTGAGATATAACAATCTTCACACACTTTCTTCTAAGGAAATTTTAATCATTTTTAGAAGATTATTCCTAAAAAGCAATACAAAATAATTATTTAGGGCCTGTTATTGGGGTAGGCTTGGGTGGTGGAAGGGAAAATTTGAAATATTGGTGGTGAGAAGGTGTAATGGTGGTAGGACTGGTACAGGAATACGAAATGTAATAAATTATTGTGAACAACTTTATAAAAATTCAATATGCCAAAAAAAAAAAAAAGAACATTCTTCCTCCTACAAAAACTAGAGCTTGCAGTCTCAAACACAGTAAAGCAAGATTGGGGGGGGGGGGGGGGAAAGGCTTAACAGAACAACACAAAGTTGCCCGTAGTAGAGATAAATCCTGGGAACATTTTGGTGTTTTCCCTACTAACTGTCCTGCCAGCTCCAGACCTCAGGCTGCCTCCCAGCCCCCACTGCCATGCTTGCCTGGAGCTCACTTTCAGAAAGCCCTCAACTCCGCCTAAGAGGCCACAGTGCCTTAGCCGTGGACCAGGCTCGTCACATACAGCTACTTTTTCCAGCTGCAAGGGATGCCAGGGATTTTACCCAGAAGGAAACTGAGGCTCCAAAGTTGCAGTGACTTACTGAGATCAGTGAGTGGTGAAGAAGGAAGCTGGGAGCAGGGAGAGAGCTGCCTTCCCTCTGCCTTTCATCCGTAGAGGCCTGGCTAGCTTTCCCAGTCAGCGCAGTCAAGGGTGAGAGGCCCAAGGGTGGGCTGACAGGGTGGGGGAAGTGGCTGAGTCTCCTGGGCTCACCTTTGCTCCCGCAGGTCTGGGTCCCAGGGCTGTTGCAGGAGGTGGGGGCGGCTGTCT